TCACTAATCATCAGAGATGCAGATTGAAACCACAACCACATCACAACTGTCAGAATGGCTGCTGTCAACAAATCAACACATGACAGGTGCTGGCGAGGGTGCGGAGAAAGGGGACCCCCGGTGCACTGCTGGTGGGAGTGGCTGCTGGTGGAAAACAGTGTGGAGGTTCCTCAAAAAATTAAGGATGGACTTACCATTTGACCCAGTGATCCCACTTCTAGGACTATATCCTAAGAAACCCAAAGCACCAATCAGGACGAATTTATGCACCCCGATGTTCATAGCAGCACAATTTACAACAGCTAAGATCTGGAAACAGCCCAAGTGCCCATCAGTAGATGAGTGGATAAAAAAGCTGTGGGACATTCACACCATGGAATACTACGCAGCCGTGAAAAAGAAGGATCTCATACCCTTTGGGACAGCATGGAGGGACCTGGAGAGTATTATGCTGAGTGAAATAAGCCAGGCAGAGAAAGGCAAGTGTCACATGATCTCACTCATATGTGGATCTAATAAACAAAATAAACAGACGAACAAAATAGATCCAGAGACATAAAAGCATGAAACAGACTGATGAATCTCAGAGGGAAGGCGAGAGGGGGGTTGGGAAGAGATTAACCAAAGAACTTACATACATATATGCATAGCCCAAGGACACAGACAATAGTGTAATGAAGGCCTGGGGTGGGTGGAAGGGGGCAAAAGGAGGAAAATGGGAGACATCTACAATGCAAGATCTTAACAATAAAAATAAAATAAAATAAAATAAAAAGAATTTAAAAAAGAAAAGTCTAAACTGGTCCAAAGAGGTCAGTAGAACCGTGGACATAAACAGTGATTCTGTGTGGGCCCTGGAAGGGGAGGAGAAGGCCTGTCCCATCTCAGAAAACATGCACAGGGTCACTAACACTGATCTTTAGGGTGCCTGTGGTGAGGCCTCGGCCGGGAACAGGACCCGGGCATTGGAGACTGGAGGACGGCAGGCCCTTGTAAAGTGGCTGAGGATATGGCTGAATTCTGTTCTACTTGTTTTTTTAAAATCCTCACCCAAGGATATTTTTTCCATTGCCTGCGTCCCCACAGCCCGCGAGGTTAGGCCAGGACAACGTTCATTTAACCAAAACAAAGCCAGAGCCTGGAAGCTGTCCACTTGGAGCCCATAGCCAGGGAACAGATTTCCCTTGGGACCCATGCCCTTTTCCAGCTCTGCCTGGGACAGTCAGCCCTCAGGGCCAGGCTAACACTCAGGCCCCGGACACCCCGCGCCCGCCCGCCCTGCGAGCTCCAGGAGGTGCCTCCTCCAGAGCCTGGCCCAGCAGCCTCCTGCCCTCCTCACTTCCCGGGACCCTGGCCCGCTGCGTCGTCTCTGCCTGCTCCTGAGCTGCGTCTGCTCAGACCCTGGCCACCACAGCTGGCCTGGACGCTGCATAGCCACCCTGAGCCCCTGACATGGCCCCCCTGTGCCCTTTGCATGGCTCCTGTCTCCCGGCACCTCACACCCTGCCGTTGCTCCTGGGCCTGGCTGCCGCCTGCCCTTCTTTTGGTGACATAGTGGATCGAGTCTTTCGCTGCTGTCCTCTCTCCGGGTCATGCACACACACTCCTGACAGGTCACCCAGCACAGTCTGCCCCCTGGGTCCCACCGGCACACCCCAGACACACTGAGAGCGGGGACAAGACCCTGGAGTGTCTGGGCTTTCCCGGACCGGCGACAGACAGTGACGGCACATCCTGCCGGCATCCCCAGCCGGAGTCCCCAGCGCAGGCCCTACCGATCGATCGCTCGGAGCCCAAGCCCAGCTCTGCTGAGCTTGTGTTGGGGAGACCAGGCCTGCATTCTCTCAGCTCAGCCGGCTTCCCTCACCAGGCAGATCAGCCCCCACCCCAGGCCTGTGTCCAGGGGACCACCCTTTCCCTCGTACCCATTGGAATTAGGGTCACCCTTCCAGAGGCTCATACAACACACAGGGGTGTGGTTTCGGGGAAAAAAACCTCCACGAGGAAGCCATTTCACAAGATAAAATGTACATATTTATTTCAGGGCAAAAAGTGCACACATTGCAAAGCAACACAGGGGGCAGAGCCCTCGGCCGTGGGCTGTGTCCAGAGAAGCCGCTTCTCAGCGCTGGGCGCGGGGGGGACGCACAGGGGAGATTTAAGTACAAGCGGACCCACCACTCGGGCCCGGGCCCTAGGCTCAAGGCGGCGAGCACCCCTCTCGGTTTCGTCTCCTTGGCGTTCACGGTCCTGTCCTGCGGATCACTTCACCTGCAGACGACAGACGCAGTGTGAGGCACCCTTCCCAGCGGGTGTTGGCGCCCCAGCCCTGCCCTCCGGCCCGCCCCCCGGCTACCTTGAACAGGGTGACGGTCGTGCTGTAGAAGAGACTGAGGAGGAAGAGAACGATGAAGGTGGAGGCCATGGTGTTCAGGTTCTCGAAGCCCTCCTCCTCGGCGCTCACCTCCCCCTCTGCAGGGGACAGAACACAGCTCGAGCTCTGCCGGGGAAGACAAACCTCCTCCTCCGGCCACCCACCCTCTCGCTGCCCTCAGCTCCTGGCTGTGCCCCCCAGGAGGGCAGGGCGGGGTGGCAGAAGCAGGGGGCAGCAGGGAGGGGACCTGCGGAGCGCAGACTGTATCTCAGAGGTGGGTGGGGGGGCAGCCTGAGCCAAGTGCAAGCTGGGCCTCCAACAGCCTGACGGGTGGCCCGGCAGAGACACCTGTCTTGAGAGCCCTGGGGTTCAGGGGTGGTGACAGAGCAGTTCACAGACACAGGGGGTGGGTGCAGCAGCGCTGGGATGGGGAGTGGGGACCCCAGTGGAGTGCTTCCAGGGTCCTGGACTCTCCTAGACGGGGTGGGGGACAGCCAGGGCCACTTGGGGTGACAAAGCTGGGAGTGGGGCCTCCTGTCACCTGCAGTGGGGGGTGGCAGTGGGGGCAGGTAGATGCCTGGGCCTGAGGGACCCATCCCTTGCTGCCTCAGTGGGACTCTTGCTCTCTCTCCTTCTCGGAGTGGAGGGCACCTGTGAGAAGCTATGTGGGGCCCTGGCTGGCTTGTCTTCCCCATTAAGAATATGTCTCTGGGACCAAGGGGTCAGGCAGACACCTGAGGTTCTGGGGAGAGTAACATTGGGATGGACAGACACATACAGTGGAGTCTGGAGCCCAGGTCCCTAAATGGCCAGGAACATAGGGTGTCTAGGAAGTGACCCCAAGGGGCAGTGCCCTCTGATCTGCTGGGAATGGAGACCTGCTTGGGCCCCTGTGCCCCTCACTCCCTGCTGCAGGCTGTCCCTCTTCCCTCCATTTCCAGGGCCAGGTGTTTGCAGGGCAGAGCCTGCCAGAATGGCCTCCCTGCCTCCAGGACGTCCCTACTTTTTCTGTTCATAGATGGGTGAGGGCCCTGCTGATTTCATCAACAGCCTGGACACAGCCGGGGTGTCCCTGAGGAACTGTAGCCAGCCTGCCCAGGGTGGCCCTCTGAGCTTTTAGCCCTGGGCCTGGGATGGTCAAAGTCCTGGCTGTGCTGTCCCATGGATGCCCCTCCAAGCTGAGACAGAGGACAAGCAGGCCTTGGGCAGGAAGCCCTGCAGCAAGCGTGGTGCAGAGAGGCAGGAGTGTCTGCAAAGGCACCAAGTGACCAGGGTGCACAGGGTGGGCATCCATGTGAGTGTGTGTCCGTGTGTGTACATGCATGCATGTGTGTCTGCATGTGCATGTGTTTGTGTGTGAAAACACCTATGTGTCCATGTGTGTGCATGTCAGTGTACATCTGTGTTCATGACTTGTCTGTGTGTGTGCCTGTGTGTGCATATGTGCATGTGCGTATGAGTGTGCATGTACCTCTGTGTGCATGTGTCCATGCCTTTGCCTGTGTGTGCATGTGTACATATGTCTGGGTGTGTGCCTCTGCATGCGTGTCTCTGCATCCATGTGCATTTGTGCCTTTGTGTGTATGTGTCCGTGTATGTGTCCATGCATGTGCCGGCATACACTTATGTATGCGTCTTTGTGTGTACATGCCTGCGCTTGTGTGTGAGTGTGCAAGTATCTGTGTGTCTGTGTGCATGTGTCCATGTTTTTGATGTGTGCGCTCTTAGCTGTGTGCCCATGTCCATGTGTGCATGCCTGTGTGTGTGCCTGTATCCATGTGCATGTGTGCTGCTGTGTGTACATGCCAATATCTTTCCATGTCTCTCTGTGTACACTCTGTGCATGCACACATGCTTGTGCATGTGTGTCTCTGTGTGTATGTCTGTGTATGTATTAACGTGTGTATGAGCATGCACATGTGTGCCTGCGCCTGTCTTTGCATGTATGTGCATGTGTTTATGTGCCCCTGTCCACAGCATGTGTCTCTGTGTCCATGTCCTTGTGCGTGCATGTCTGTGTGTGCCTGTGTCCATGTGCATGTGTGCCTTTGTGTGTGTCCATACCTGTGCATGTGTCTGCCTGCATGTATGCAACACTGTGTACATTTATGTGCAAGTGTGCATCCATGTATGAGCATGCACCTGAGTTTGTGTGTCCATGTCTTTGTAAGTGTATGTATATGTCTGTGTGCATGCATGCATGTCTCTGCATGTGCGCATGTGTGCTCATGTCCACTGCATGCCTGCCTGTGTGCATGTGTGTTCACATCTGTGTTCCTGTGAGCCCATAGCAGCAGTAGAGGAGCGATGAGCACTGGATCTGTCTGCCGTGAGCACTCTGTAGGTGCTCAGGGCTTCCAGAGGCGGGTGGAAGGCCAGCGGGTGAGGCAGCGGTGGGGATGGTGGTGGAGGGTGGTCTGCGGGATGGGGCAGCATAGCTGTGGCCCCAGCAGGCGAGAGCATTGCTCACTCAGGACCAGCATCTTTTGAACGGATCTTTTTATTTCTAATTTTTATAGAATGCAACATCCCACCTCGTGGACACAGTCAGTTTGCATACATGCGCACACACAGTGACAGGTCAGCGAGAGGCTCCGGGGACCACCCTTGAGGGGCATCCTGGGGGTCAGTGGCAGGTGTTGGCCAGGTCAGACATGACCAGGGACACGTTGTACAGGGTGGGTTTACCAGTGGACTTGTCCACGGTCCTCTCGGTCACAGAGTGGGGCAGGGCCTCGTGGGCCACAACGCAGGTGTAGGTCTCCCCGGCGCTCCAGTCCTCCTCAGTCACGGTCAGGATGCTGTAGGTGAAGTACAGGCCGGGGGCCTGGGGCTCAGGCATCGGGGCGCTGGTCACATATGTGTCGGGGGACATGGGCTGCCCTCTCTGCATCCACTGCACAAACACGTCTGCAGGCGAGAAGCCCTTCACCAAGCAGGTGATGGAGGCCGACTCCCGCAGGCTCAGCTGCTCCCTGCTGGGTGGCAGCAGGTAGACAGAGGGCATGTGCTTGGCGAAATCTGTGGAGAGAGGTGGTGATGAGCTCAGATCGGGTGGCAGTGGGATTCGTCTCCCGACAACAGGGGACGCAGAGGGCTGCTCCGGGACCTGCCGGCGGCATCTCTGGACCCTGGAGGCTGCTGTGGGAGGTCTGGGGCAGCAGGAAGGGCAGGGAGGGGTGGGGCTTACCCTTGGGCCTGGAGACAGAGAGCTTCAGCGGTGAGGGCAGGTCTGTGTGGGTCACTATGCACGTGAACTCATCTCCTGACTCCCAGTCTTCCACGCATACTGTGGCTTCCCCTGTGGCGCTGAAAGTGGCATTGGGATGGCTCTTGGAGATGTTGATGTGGGTTTTCAGTTCCTCCTTGTTCTGGCGGGTCCAGGCAATGTTCAGGCTGTCATAGGTGGCCAGGTCTGTGACCAGGCAGGACAGCTTCGCTACCTTGGTGAGGAAGATGCTGGCGAAGGTGGGGGCGATGGGGAAGACTCGGATGGAGGTGGACGTACCTGAGACAAGAGAGGGGGTGTGAGCGACTGGTCGGATGTGAGATTGGGTAAATGTCGGGGGAGACTGGACTTTACTCAACCTCTCCTGAGCCCTGGGGTCCTGATGGAGGGGCAACTGGAGCCCCACCTGAAAAGTGGCCCCAAGCTGCCCTGCATGGCCCCCTCCCTGTCCTTGGCCTCTCCAGGAAGCCAAGGCTCAGGGAGTAGCTGGCCTCATCTGGGGCAGTGTCTGCAGGCCTGAGTGGACACCTGTGTGTTGGGGAGTCTTCTCCCTGGGGAGCCTCCCTCAGAGGGGCAGGACCACTCACTGGGGAGACACATGGATGACACGTTCTTCTGGAAGGTCAGCTGTCTGTGCTCCACTTGGCAGGTGAACACGGTCTGGCTGAGCCAGTCACTCTCGGTGATGGTCAGTGTGCTGGTGACCTTGTAGGTCACGGGTCCTGACCCTTTGTGCTCAACTTGTGGTTTGTCCGTGGTGAAGCCAGAGTCCAGCAGCTTTCCATCCCGCAGCCAGGACACGGAGATTGTCTTGGGGCTGAAGCCCGTGGCCTGGCAGACGAGCTTGGATGTGCGGACGCTGGTGCCAGAGAAGGAGTCCCGGGGCGGGATGAAGACATTCACGGTGGGGGCAACGTCTTGCACTGCTATTGAGAGGGGACATGTGTCAGCCTGGCCGGGCTAGGACCCACCTCACCCGCTCAGCTGGGGGGACCCCGTCTCACCTTGGATGGGCACCTGCACATCTGATTGCCCTTTAGGGTGTTTGACTTTGCAGGTCACGAACTCATCTGTGCCCTGGAGGATGTCAGCGGAGGGCAGCAACACCTGGGAGCTGGCCGAGTACTTCCCCTCACTCAGGACCGACCAGAAGGTATTGACGGCCTGGCTGCTGATGTCACTGCTGTTCTTATAGCTCCAGGAGAAGGTGACAGAGTTGGGCATGAAGTCCTTGGCCAGGCAACCCATGGCCACCAGGCTCTCATCGGACAGGGGACTCTCACAGGAGACGAGGGGGAAGAGGTTTGGGGCAGATTCGCTCTCTGAGAACCCGAGAGGGACAAAAGAGAAAGGGGAGTGAGAAGGTGGCTTCCTCCACTCTGCTAGTCAGGGGTCAGGCCCCATAGCCCTGTGGCTGCCCCTCCGGGGCCAAACCCACGACAGGCCTCCAAGGACTGGCCATCTGTGTGGCAGGCAGTCATGGCAAGGCCAGAGCCCTGGCACAAAGCTGCGGGGTATGGGAAGGCTGCCATAGCCCCCATCCCAAAACAGACGCCGTCTCTGAGACTGGGAAGACGGGAAAATGCTTGTTGGAGCTGGCAGATCTGGCCCTTCCTCCCCCAAGAATGCTCTCCCCATACTCAGGAGCAACTGTACCCTGGCTCCCGGCTCAGCACGGCCCAAGCCCAAGCCAGCTCTGTGGTCCCTCTGAACACTGGAGCCAGCACGCTCAGCCCCAGCACAGTGAGTGTGCCCTAGACAGCTGCCAGCAGGATGAGCCCCTGTGAGCCCAGCCCTCCCTGACCCCGGCTCAGCCATACTAGAGCCCAGCCCTGTGTGTCTGGGCTCCAAAGAACGGTGTGTGTGTGACGGGTGGGACGAGTACAGTCTTGACACATATTGAGCACAACCAGGTCACTGAGGTCAGCCCAAGTCAGCCAGGACAGCCCTGCATGGCCAGCTCAGCCCAAAGAGACCCACATGGCCCAGCCAGTTTAGTGCAGCCCACAGCAACCACCAAAGTAGACTGAGATAAGCTAGCTCACCCAGGCCATTTTTGCTGAACCCAGCTCATGCCACTGTGGTTACCTCAGCTCAGCCACCCAGCCCAGCTCAGCTTACACAGCTCAGACATCCAGTCAGCTCATCTCAGCTCATCCTAATTCAGCTAAACTCAGCCCAGCCAGCTCAGTTCAGCTCACCCAGCCCAGCTCAGCTCATCCAGCACAGCTCAGCTCAGCCCGGCTTACCCAGCCCAGCCTGGCTCACCCAGCCCAGCTTGGCCCGGCCCAGTTCAGCTGAGCTTACCCAGCTCAGCTCAGTCTGGCTCCCTCTGCTCAGCTCAGCTCACCCAGCCCAGGTTGGCTCAGCTCAGTTCAACTCACCCAGCCCAGCCCAGCCCAGCCGAGCCCAGCTCAGCTCCAGTCAGTTGACCCAGCCCAGCTCAGCTCATCCAGCTCAGCTCAGCCAGGCTTACCAACTCAGCCTGGCTCACCCAGCCCAGCTCAGTCTGTCTCACCCAACTCAGCCCGGCTCACCCAACCCAGTTCAGCTCAGCCTAGCTCAGCTCAGCTCAGCCAGCTCAGCCCAGCTCAGTTCAGCTCATTCAGCTCAGCTCAGCTTGGCTCACCCAGCCCAGTTCACCCAACTCAGCTCACCCCAGCCCAGCTCAGCTCAGCTTGGCTCACCAAGCTCAGCCCAGCTCACCCAGCTCAGCTCACCCCACCCTAGCCCAGCTCAGCTCACCCTACCTCAGCTCAACTCACCCAGCTCAGCTCAGCTCAGCCCAGCTCAGCCCAGCTCAGTCCGGCTCGTCCAGCCCAGCCCAGCCCAGCCCAGCCCAGCCCAG